GGAAGAATTATCGAACAATGGCGTTGTGGCAGACGTGAGTAACATTTAAATCATGAATTTGTATAATTTTCGAAAATTGATGTTGAAATACGAGTATATAATTCATAGGTTGCAGAAAGATCGCAACGTATTGCCATTTGGCTAAACCAGAGTCTCATCCTCGGCGAGGAGTTGGAGGTTGCAGAAAACGGCCCGAATGCTGGATGCATCGAGGTATGGCTTCGTGGGATGCGGGATAACAAAGTGCACTGCTTTAAATCAAACGCTGGTGGAAAAATAACGATCCAAACGGATGATGCAACATTTGCCGGTGATATGATACAATCTCTCGCTATGTATTTAGGCGTTAGAGAATTGAACTCGGAAGTCACATTTCCCGCGGAAGAGAGTAGAATGTTAGATGCATTGGAACGCATCAAGGGTACGTTGCTTTGTTAGAGAAGGAGAGAGTAGGATGTGAAATAGAATTAGTTTTTCTCGAACTAATTTCTAGCAAAGAGTAATTCTCTTTCGAATAAAAGTAAATATAAAAAAAAAAATAAATATTCTTCAGGTTTGAAGGAGGTCGATGCGCGACTTCAAGCGGAAGCTGCGGGCGCTGCCACTCTTCTAAAGAGTATCGTGATTCGCTTAGAAGATGCTAGGATTCTCGAGAATATTGATGATATGCGAAAGAGATTGATGCAACTTAAGAATATCAATGGCGATTTGATTCGAGAGCACGAGATTCGACTGAATAGTCATCGAGAGCTTGCAACTAGCCTAAAAGAACTGAACATCGGGGTACAACGCGCAGCGAGACTCAGAGGTAACGTCTTTAAAGCCGCTGCTATTTTTCTTTTCATTTTATTTCGTCAATTATATTTATTTTTGCAGTCGGGAAAGCTGCCTCCAATGCAGTAGCTCGTTGTAGAGCGGCAATACAGGACGAAAATCCGAAAGCTCTTGCGCTCGCAATAAGACACGGCTAGATATATCCATTGTCATTCAGAAGCTAATTCCTTGTACAGTTAATTTTGCAATTACACTATGATGTTCCTAAAAGTATTCCAAGATTGACGATGTTATCTGTGACGATGTTATTGACAAAAATAAATGTTACTGTAAATTCATGTACACAAATAGCCTTTCTTATATAAAGATAAATTTATTAAAACATATAATTTATTAAAACGTATAATATAATTTTTTTTATATAGTGTTTTTATATAGTGTTCTCTCTCGATGTCTAGTGGAATAAAATTATTTTAGTCTCAAGACAAATCTAGGAATTACAATAAATTCCCACGAGCGGAAATACTAAATCTTCTTGATGGAGGAGGTGACGGTCGGCGAAGACTATTTAAGGTCCCATCTGTACAAGCTCTCAGTCTGAAAGATGTCTGCTGTCCTGGACTGCTGTGCAATTCGGTCAGCAATCTTAGTATGTTCATGAATACGGCCGTGACCTGTCGAATGAAAATAATCGTCGTTGTCATGGCCACCGTTACATAAAGACATTATTATCTAAGAGAGACATATTCTTTCGACGCCATAAGCATTATCATTTTTATGTTTTTATTCTTTTTTACTCTATCGTGTATTCAATACGCAATAAAATTAATTATTTTGTGTCTTTTATTTGCTGTTTTTGAAATACATATCTTTCTTACACGCGAAAAGAATTATAAAACATAAATCTTTACTGTTCCGTCTTACACATGTTATTTTTTAACATAAATATTTTTATATCTTAAATAATATCATAATTATAAAGACAAAATTATTATTGATCGTTAATGAAAATTAAGTGAAATATTTTATTAAAAATTACGAAAGGCGTTTCTTAGATGATACATATGTGGTATCATATTTATAAAAAAGAATCAGAAAAAATTTCCTGACGATTTCGTATCTTGTATTAAGTTTATAAATTTAGAACTTGTTTTATATTTAATATTTAAAATCTAATATTTAAAACAAATCTAATCTTGTTTTTTGATTCTTATCGTGAAGTTTTGTTTACATGAATTTATCACTTCTATCGCTTTGACACTCGGTTATTATCGAGAAGCGCTGAAATATGTCCTCTCGTATAATCGTCATTACAATGAGTAGATAAAAAACACTAAAATGCTGTTGTTTGTATCGTGTGCCTTGAGAACGAGCGATATAGATTTGTTTATGGACTGTGATCACGCGCAAACGCCATGACTGGTGGTAAACAATCGTTTAGAATAATAATCTTCGTCGCGATTAGCCGATATGTTAACCACATCGTATTATTTATCCTTATCTTATGTCCATTTATAGCCGATCGATTTTTTTCGAGACATCGAAATTTTCAGATTTGCGCTATTTTTAAAATAATGAAGACAAGAATAATATGATATCGTAATCTGAACCCGATTATTACCGATATACTCCACCCGGAGGCGCGAGGGCATCTTTCTCTTTTTTACTTTACTTTTTGCTTGATACCGAATCCGTTGAAAATGTTGTTTACACGCGGATCGTTACCTGATCCACCGATTCCCTTACGGAAATCTCATGGAAAGCGTGAGCCTCGATTTCTTTTGCCCTTTTCTGGCCTTCTAGAGCGGACACCATGCGTTCACCCGGAGAACAGGAGAGATCGGCCTTGTTTCCCACAAGTAACACGACCGGTGGCACCTTTCTGCCTCTTCTCGCGTGCGATACCAAAAATCTGAAAGTACCCAACGAACGAATATAATATGATAAAGTGCAATTATTTTGCATTTTCTTTCTTTCTTTCTTTGTTTTTTTTTTTTTTAATAAAATTATACCAAGGTGTGTATAGACAGAGGGTAAACGAACCTCAGACGAGAAGTCTCGTCGAAACTGACCCGGTCTGTTACCGAATAAACGAGAACTATCGCGTCGGCCCATCGCAATTTCGGTTCGGTGGAGGCTGGCGGGTATCCGGGAGGATCCGCTATTTCCCACGAGGATCCCAGGTGATTGTCGACTCGGTAGATCCTGTCCGTCGAGCAGTCGTACTCGCCTATGAAGCGTTTCGTAGCGAACCGCACGGCTAAAGCTGATTACAAGATTTAAAAACAAAAATAACATTAGAAATATATTTGCTTTTATCTAATAGAATCAATTCTCTATAAATCTTTTCTTAAAAAAAAAAAAAAAAAAATATTATCTATAATAGAAGAGTCTCCCATTTGTTTAATCGAAAGAGTGAAGCGTTTAACAATTTTAATTTTAAACGTTAGAAGAAATTGTTTGTGTTTAATTAGTCACCCGATTTGCCGACGCCCGGTTGGCCCAGTAAAATCACTTTGACCGTCTTGAAGCAGTCCCTGTTGGCGAGGCCGAGGCCCCAGCTGATCGGAGGACTGTTTCTCTTCTTGGTGGACGCCAATGGCGGACTATCACCATCCATGTCTTAATCGCCACTGATTTCTGCGGAGGGTGTCCCATCGATTATGAACCCTCTCGCGTGGTCCGCTGGTATTTAATGGATGCATTATTCATAGCGACCTGTCGCGCAATCTCCTCGAAGGGTGAGCGCGATAATAAACAATGAGAGGGCGATACGTCACTCTAACTGCGTCATCGATATTATTATTAGAATAGCATGGGATCCTGTAAGTTGTGAAAAAAAACGCGACGTAACGTGTGTGACCGACGTCATAAAATACTGTCCTAAGCGCTTCCGGTTTCAGAGGAGTTCCGATTTTCGGGCCGCGCAGCCAGCTGATCGCGTCGTATTTAACGCGCACGTGCCGTCGGCGATACGGTTGTTTATTGTTTGGTCGTTAACTTTACGTAAGACCCGAAGGGGCTCGAGGGACTACCCGATGAATTTTATCACGCGCATTATGTGTCTCGATTTTTACGCCGCATTTCTTCTTCCGCGCAAACGGCGCCGGCCGGCCGGTCGGCTGGTCGCCGACTCGTCACCTCGCGGTTCGATGCACTTGCTCGTATGCACTCGTCCGTGCATATGTAGCGAATAATTGTTTACGGCTGCATTCAACACCGCGTTGCAATATTAAATGCAATATTCTCTTTCTCTCTCTCATTCACTCCCTCCGCACTCGCCGTTCACTCCTTCCGTCCGCGAACGATTGGAAATACGTCGGTGGCACAAAACACTATTTTACTCAGGTATCGTTGATGATGTTGCGTGCATATCTCGACGCATTAATGTCGCTTAGGTTGATGTACAGTCGCACGTTGATGTATTTTCCTTAGCCTTAAGACAGAAGCGATCTGTTAAGAAAACTATATTTAGTTTGTGCTCCTGGTTCAGTTGATGCTCCTGTGTTGAAGAAAACGAATAAGCTACTAAAGATATCGTTAATAAATTGCTCATTAATAAATTGCTTAGTCATTTAAATTCTCGCCGATATGATAAGGCCTGTAGGAAACATATAATCTTTTACGTGCACTTTTACACAGAAATACACAAAATGTTCTAATGTTAATTTTTACAATCGCAAATTTTTCACTCGGTTCCTTTCAGCAATATTGAGTGTTTTTAATCTCACGATCATATGCAATGTATTTTTCTATGATGTAGTTTTTCACACTGAAGGATAGAACGTGCTATAATTAATGGAATGTGCGCGTTATTTCTCTTAACCCTTGCAATTTCAAGCCGCGTTAAGTTTCATCGATTACCATACAGAGGTGAGAGAATAAGGTCAGGATAGATTTTAAGAATATCAATGTAAAAGTAAATTTCTCGTATTAAGATAAGGTATATAATCTGTTATGTACACGCATAATATTCCGTTCCATACACTTTACATTAATAATATGCAATAAAAATACTTTATTCGTACATTTTAAAAGACCGTGTGTACGGGTGTGTATATGTACATGTGCGTATGCGTGTGCCCCCATATATACATAACGTCAATAAACTCCAAATAGGATAATTTAGAATTTAATCAGGAAATTGTGTTCCGCTCTGAAATAAAAATAGCTCTCTCTCACTGTGATAAGTACATTTCCCCTAATATCTCGCTGACAGTTCGGAACAGAAATAGAACTTCACTCCTATTGGTAGATAAATCGACAAAAAGCTATTTGAAGTACCGCCATGAAGATAATCAAATGTGATATAATCGATTTAGGAATCAAAATGAATTTTCTTAATTTAAATTATCTTATCATATCATATAATTCCTTCTCGAACACGATCACAATTTTTTGGATTATGGATTTATGGAAAGAACCCGTGCAGAATAATTGAATAACCGTGTAGGACGTAGTTGAAATATCTCAAAATAAATCTGAGAAAGCGCTTATAGTTTAACATAATTATTTAAAGGTCTTCTATAATAGGTTTACTTATCACTTTATCACTTCTTGGATAGGAGGATGCTGAATCATTAGATTTTATCATTTAATTTTCCTCACATGTAGATTTTTATTTTTATTTCGTAGATTTTTATTTACCTATGGAGATTAATAAAATTTCAATAGTGATTTTGTATTAGAAGACCGTCTTGATTTAATCGTGAATGAGAGGTGTTCTACTTAAAAAGCCAATTATCTTCGCTTATTCGGAATTCCTTCGACAATTCCTCGTAATTTATACACGTTTCCTGGTATCCGGTTCGATTGATAATCTAAAAATAAAACGCAACTCTCGATTGGATCGCCGTCGCTGTCGCGGATAATGAGAAAAGCATGTCGCTGTTCGTTGTTGACCTCCTGTTCACGGGGGTTATCGACTGGGTGAGTCTTTATCGGGGTTATCTATAAAAACTATCCCAAATCCGTTCACCCCAAAAAGCCTAACGAGTCGCGGCGCGTCACGCAAAAAATATAATAAGAAGAAAGGAGGTGTCTCGGAGGGAATCGTATTCATGGATAAGATAATGTTGGATCTTCGATCTTAGAAAAAAGAGACTGGAGAGTGAAAAGATCGTTAATTTTCGCTTTTCTTTTTCTGCAGATCGTTTTCGTAATAGATATCGTCCACGGGTCCGGTGCACAAGTCCATACGACGAATGATATCAGATCCCGACGCACAAATTCTCGTGAAGCACACGAAGAGGGTGTTTTCCTATGAGAGCATGTATCTGTGCGTGCATTCACAAAAAGATTTATCTCTTTAGAGATTTATTTAAGATCTGCTTTAATTTATAATTTATCTCTTTAAAGATTTATCTAAGATCTGCGTATCGCATTTACGGTGACAAAAAAGTCACAACTACCAAGAATTGCTTTTTGCAAAAATGCCGATTGGATAGTTGAAAAAAGTTGGAGAAATATTCCATCGGATGGGAAAGTGTGGTTGGTTCTAATTAAAGTACTCTGATTATAAATGCGAGAAATGCACTCCACTGGCGAGATCTGTAAAAGACGCCTTGAGAAGACACAAGCTGAAAAGGACAAAAGCTGAAGAAGACTGAAGCTGATAAAAAAGTGCTAAATTTGGAAAGTAACTGATACTGATGCACTATTTACGAGTTAATGAGACAAAACACGATCGTTATACAAATGTTAACCTTTGCCCTCGGCGCGAATTTGCTTTTTTGATATTCTGCCGAAGACAGAATATCTGTAACAGGATGTCTCCGCTTGTGGAAAGCATATTTGCTCCATGAGTCTGTTTTGACGACCGTGCGATGAGATATAAAATTAGTTTATAGCTTTGTTTATAGGTCGCTCGGTAATGAAAAATGCTTTATTCTCGACCACATGACGAGCCCGTTATGACGAGCCCGTCTTGGTTCCAATTCGGCGAATCCGAGTTGATGTCACCCTCCTCGCAATTAAAAGTTGCGCTTTTCAAGCGAAGAGAAGATAAAAAGAGAGCTATATAATCTAATAAGATTAGAATAGAAGAAAGATATAATCTAATAAACTTTCTCTAATCCTTTGAATAGTGATGCGAAATAATTAATAATTAAATAAATCCGTAATATATGACTAATATGATTTGACTCGAGATGATAATACTTAAAATCTAATCACAATATTTTCTTAATGTAATTATTTATAAATCTTTTTATAAGAGAACTGATTCTCCATGTCTTTATCAACATGTGTTGGATAGAACGCTGTTGGATCATTAGAGTGATATTTAACTTTTCTGACATCCGTTTTTTTTATTTTTATCTGGATATTTTGACTCTCTTCCTGTTTGTCAACGATCACTGATATAGCGGAAATGCGAAACTCTGTTGCCTTTTCTAATCACTATTTTTGTAATCAGGTTTGAGTTAAGATATTGATTTGCGGAGTTCGTTGAATTTCCACACGAATCGCTGATCAAGCCGCAAGTGTCTAAAATTGCGAAATTTATTCCTATACCATTTCCCGGAATACACACCCGTCTGTGACCTGACACAATTTTTATAAAAAGATTATTGGCGATTGCGATTATGAGAAAATCTATTGAAATGCAAACAGGCCTCAATTTCCATTAATACACGACCGGTTAGCCGAGAAAAAAGCCTAATGTTCGGTCAAGAATAATCGTTATAATAACGTCGTGATTCCGACCTCAATTATAAATTAAAGATAAGAAAGGGGATGCAATTATTACTTAATTGAGAAATAAGATGTTTAACTATGAGTAAAGATGTTACGTAGCTTATGTCGATTTTTTTGCATTCGCGTGTTTAATATCCCGCGAGTGAGAAGCTAGAAGAGCTCTCAATGAATATTTTTAATATATGGCGTTCGCCGCGTGCCGCCGATACCTTTCATTTATTTCTCGTTTCGCGACGAGCGAGTATTAACGAGTATACTTGAGCTATTACTGGCTCCAACGATAAGAAAAAAAATAAAGAAAAAAGTTGTTGCTCCGTTGCTTCCTCACGATTACATGAGAGCCAGGTCGATGACTTGGACCCTACGACGTAAGCGAACGAAACAACAGTCTGCTCCCACACGAGGCGGCGCCATTCTTAATTAATCAATAAGGAATTTTCCGAGAACGCTATCACTTGTCCTGTGGTATTCTCGATCGACAAGAAAAATTTGGTGCACATGTACCAAATACGTGTCGTTGCCATTAGAACAGATAACATTAATAACGGGTCTGCCAGACGTAGTAAATATTAGCGCTACGCTGGAAAATTTTAAAAATATAAGATATGCCGATGTAATTTTCATAAACATTTTCGCTCACTGGATTATCCAATTTTCTTAAAGAAAAGAAATATAATCTGACAAAATATTAATTTCGCGGGTTATTATGCTACAATTTTCAAGAGAATCACATTTTTATATTGTGAAAAAATTATTTTATTACGTACAATTTCTTTTTTTTCAAAAAATTCCTCAACTCATTATTTGCATTAAAAGATATCTTCTGGAGTTTGAAATTAAAATTATTTAAAAAAAAAAAATAAAAATTATTATGATCGTTCTAAATCTTCACTATAAATTTTGCAATCATAATATCACTTATCGTGTTGACTTTATGTATATATCAACAAGTAATTATATCATTACGCGAATGATGCTCTCGATTTGCGCAACACGTAAAAATGACGACGCCATAAAATCAGCGTGAGAACTTGTGACTTTTGTGGTGGCGATTTGCGACACGAGATAAGTACTAAGAATCACATCCAGTGAAGAGTAAAATCCATTAACGATCGTTACAATGATAAACGGGATCTCGGGTTGTTTCGCACGCGCGAAACTTGACAAGAGAACAAGATTGCCATGCTTTTTTTTATTAACCTTTAACCCCCGAGGTCGTAAGTACAGTATAATCGTAAGTAAAAAAAAATCGCACGTTATCTTTCTCTCTCTGAGACAGCTTAGAAATTATTTATCTTGTAAGAAATATATATTGATTCTGGAGTTAAATATATTTCTCGACTCGTTGCCTTTTCAAGCTGAATTGGATTGGATAAAATAAT